GAATATCTGAACTTGGGTGTTCTGACAGGACAAAACTTGAAATGAGTTTTCTGGCTATAAAAGGCAACAGGAAATCAAAACAAGCCCCTTGCTTTGTTGTTTTTCACCATACAAATAGATAGGGCAATAGTGTATGCTGATTATTTCTTGGCACCCAAGTTATGGAAAAATTGGCCAAAGAAATGAGGATGAGGATGAAAACATTAAAAATTAGAATCTGTTGCCAGAAAACCTTCTGGATTCTGATTTCTTTTCATTTCTTAAAATAAACCATGAAGTTCAAGTAATCACATCAACATTTTTGTCTTACTAATCATAAAAAACTGCCTTTTCTATGACTACTTCCTGGCCTGAAGACTGGAAGCACGTATTAAGTCTTAGTCAAATGCACTTTCATTGTTTCCAACTGTTTTTATGTTTTTAAAAAATGTTTTTAAATTATCAGCTTGCCAAATTTTCTGTAAGTTGAGGGGTTGACAGCAGTGGGTATGCAGCCTAATCATCCTACTTATTAAATTCATGCCATATATCTGCCATATCTTTTTTTTTTGGTGCAAGTCTAGCACACTATAATGCTCTTTGCAGTGCCTAACATTTTGTGAAACAAAGGAGCTGCTCTCCCCCCAAAAGGGGTACTGATGTATAACTGCATGAATAACTCCATGAAGTGTTACAACTACTACACCACAAACTACTTTTCAGTGAGGCTCTGCCTACAATATCAATGTTTAAATGCATTCTGAAGGCTCATCAACTACAGCCAACGTTCTACAAAACAACCAAAGAAATATAATTATTTTCAGCTTTAAATGCCCCTGAAACTCAACATCAGTAGGGTACAGGACAAAAGCACACAGAGTTTCCATACATTAAAGTTTAGCAAACCACTCTCAAACCATCTCAGTAGAGTACTAATAATGGCCTTTCCAGCTTACAAATTTAGGATTAGCGGTTAGGCAGTCAATTTCAGAAGTTTTGGTCCTCTTTCTCCAGCAGCAAAGCAAAATCCACAATACTGTAGGTATTTAGCCTTCAGCCATGTGCTTAAGTAACTGAGGTTTGCCCCAGAATTCCATAACTAATTTAAAGTAATAGAAGCAACTGTTCCCTGCTGCTGTACCGACTAGGGTGAATAAGTTTGAAAAAAAAATTAACCCAATCACAACTTACAATATCATAGCACTTGGAACAGTTGGAATGATGCTGCTTGAAATAGCTGGGCTTTGTTCAGAGATGAAACAAAACTGCTTTTTGTTCCAACTGTGCAAGAAAACTCTCTGAACATGAATGTTTTATTTCAAGATTGGAACATATGAAATAGTCACTTTGAGGTTGAAGCATTTTGCCTATGCTATGGCTCCACAGTGCAGACACAGTGGCCAAGAACCACAGGTTGCCATTATATGCAGCCTCCTCTCATCTTCATGTTGCTTTTCATGGACATATATATATTTTTACAAATTCTACTCATGTACTTTTAACTATAATTATATCTATATAAATTCTGAGGATGAAATTTTCTCATCACTTGGGAATATGTGAAGTCTAATAGAAAAAGACAAGTTTCCTCAGCAGAAAACTGAGCCCACAGATAAGAACTGTTATAGCTGCAAGGTTTTTGATATAAGATCTCACTTATCTTAGGAACAAATCAACCAACAACAAAAAACTAGACCAATACTAATTCTATACTACAAATCAGTGATTCTTCAGCAGATTACTGGCAGTAAGCTGAAGTCTACATTTAGAAAATACCATCAACAATTTTCTTTTCTAATACCATTTGCTCATTAATATTTTGGCCAGAAATACCTGAATCCCAAGTTGAATAAATATGTAAAAGACAAGAATGCCTGTGAGCATTTGACATCTGAATTGCAAAAAAGATACTTAAAACAAATGTAAATGGGTATTTTTATATGCATGAGTTTGAAAGAAGCCAATGTAGATGAGACAAAATCATAGTTGGTGCTAAATTTATTATGAGAAAAGATATACATGAAGACTAAGCTCACATTCATATAGTGTTACTTGTTCAATAGAAAAATTCTCTACAATGGTATTTAATTCTGTGATCCTGATACTGAAAAGAAAAAAAAAAATCTGATTGGGAGGTTCTCACTAAACCATATGGGGGCGGAGAATGGCTATAGAAACAAAAACAATTCTATCTCTTCATTCAGTTACAACTGACATCAGAGAATGATGATTTCTAAATCATGATATTTGCAAAAAAGTCAGACTGACCATAGATCTGGCAGCAGCCCAGTTAAGATACAATTTGGGTCACACAGATGATTTCCCACAGGCATATATTTAGCTCTCAGAAGACTATAAAAAGCAATTTCAGAACCTTCCTTCTTGGATTTGTTCCCGTGACATAGAAGATTCCTCCTAATAATGCCATAATAATAATTTGTATCAATGCTACTATTTTTGCATACTAGATTAACCAAGTAAACTTTTGTGACATATTTTGGTACACAGATACTGTATTATCATAATTAAAATGTTATTTTTAATGGAATCAGTTTCTGCAAATTCATTCTAGAAATATTGTACAGCTTTCCCACTTTCCATTTATTAATGAAGACTACTTAAAAAACTGTATCATCGTTAGGTCACAGAGAAGAGCTAATTTTAAATAATGTATGTTTCTTATCCCATTACAGGTTTTAAATATTCATTCTCTTAACAATGCAGCTCTATTTTTCACTGAGAGTTGATATGACAGATAGAGAACCATTTAAGTTGCCTTGCCTTGGCACATCAACAATTATCAGCTTGTGCACCGACTCAAAAGCTGTGCTACCGAAAGACAATTATACCTGTAACTATGGCAGCTAAAGTAACTGTGAGACACCAAGGGGAAATATGAGGAGAGGGAGGGAGAGAGAAGTCAGTTTGGAAAAGGAGGCGCTAGTTGATCTAAGATCTTACAGCACTTCATTACAATGCCCACTTTTTCTCTTGTCATCTTCTAATACTGGAACACAGTATAAGAATAATGTTGCAGAGTCAAACCAGGAATCCAATTCATCAGAACTCTGTTCCAGCAGAAAGTCTCCTCACTTCTTAGCAGACTGAGGTGTTAATAAGCCCACACTTTCTTCCAGGGTATTGTTAGGTTCCCTAAGGGCAGACTCAAACGTTGAAGAAGCTTCTCAGTAACCTGCCACTGCAAGTCTGCAGCAAGAAAGCATTATGGTAACACTGGGACTGAAGCCTTTACCTACCGCTGCAGCTCCCACACTTGCAGCTGAGGCCAAGTCCCAAACTTAGATCCTCTCTGGTTCAGATCTGGTGCCCTCCGCTCCGCCCCCCCCCCGCAATTTCCCTATTTCTGCCAGTTAGTTGTTTGTTTACATTTTCTTCATTCCCACCCTGTGAAACTTTAGGTCCTAATATACCCCTACCTCCTTGGTAACCTGCCAAGGAGTCAAGGATAACATACTACTTGGCTGGTTTCTTTCTTGGGTCTTTTATTCCTCAGTGACCTTGTTCTGCATTTGTTCTGTCAATATTCACCACCGGAGAAACTGTCCCTGAATACAAGCATGACAGAGCTGACCCTGTTTTATGTTGTTCAGGTTACATTACCAGCATGCTCTCAATTTGGTTCTTATGACTGTGACACAATTTGGGAGCTCAAGGGGCCATAAAATATGCACAGGCTTTCGCAACAGTCTAAATACAGAAATGCCTCTCGTTGTAGGGAAGCATATTTGAAGCTGACACAAATACTGCAAAACTTAGTATTCCAAGTAAATAAACTTAAAAATAAGATCTGGCAAATAATACCGGCACGCACCGCTTTACAACGGCCTTGTTCGTTGGCTTTCAACATGTCACCACCTTCCTGCGAGGCCGGCCCTACCCAACTCACGGGACCTTCTAACGATGCCTGCAGGTTGACATGTTGTCGTTAGAAGTTCTTGCATCCCCCACGCTGCGGATAACAAGAAAGAAGGTTTGAGGCTCCCCACTTCCCAACCTGCCGCACCACAGAAAGACTC